GTAGAAGGGCTAGAGAGGCTTAGAAGCTGTTCTCAAAGAGTGGACACGTGCTGGCTTGCTAACAAACAGGGTAGGGAAGCTTTGTGCTGATAGTTGCTGCCTCACTGCACTCCCTGATCCAAGCAGGTACATGCCAATTATAAAGACATATGAACCTAATATCAGAGATCAAAACACATGAAGCAAAAGATATTGAAGGAGAAGAGACTTCCCACGTGCCTAGTGGTTAGCAATCTGACTGTCAGTGCAGAGGACACCGGTTCAAACCCTGATCAGGGAAGATCCTACATGCCACGGAGCAACTAAGCCCATGCTCCACAACTACTGACCCTGCACTCCAGAGTCCGCAAGGTGCACTACTGAAGCCCAAGCACCCCAGAGGTCATGCTCTGCAACAAGAGAGGTTACCATGATGAAAAGCCTGCCACCACAACCGGAGAGTAGCCCCCGCTCACTGCAGCTAGAGAAAGACCCAGTGCAGCTAAAGGAAATAAATAAATGTGGGGCTTCTCTAGTGGCTCAGAAGGTAAAGAATCTGCCTGCAGTGCAGGAGACTCAGTTTGATCCCTGGGTCCAGAAGGTCCCCTGGAGAAGGGAATGGCTACCCACTTCAGTATTCTTGCCTGGAGAATTCCATGGTCAGAGGAGCCTGGAGAACTACAGTCCATGGGGTCGCAAAGAGTCAGTCACGACTGAGTGACTAACACACATACACACGCACAAGAGAATGCAAAACATAACAAAAATGTACAACTTTGATTTCTTAGAAATGTCACCAATAGTTTCCCTGGTTTTGTATTTGTTTTTCTGATTTCTATTTCATTTATTTTACTCTGATATTAAATATTTCCTTCCTTATACTAACATATTCTCTTTTTTATAACTTCTCATATTTCAGGTTAGGCTATTTGAGATTTTTTTCTTACTATGTGCATTTATTACCATAAACTTGTATCATATTACTGCTTGCTGTATCTCATACATTTTGGCATTTTTTGTTTCCATTTTCATTTGTTTAAGATATTTCTTATTATTTATTTCCCTTTTGATTTCTTGTTTGACACATTCATTGTTCAAGGGGGCATTGTTTAATTTACACTTGCATTTTTCAGTTTTTCATCTTTTTTTTTATTTCTAGTTTCACATCATTCATAATTTCCATTATTTTCTTATTGATTCTCTGCCTGGATGATTTCTCTGTTGTTGAAAGTGGGATATTGAAGTCTCTTATTATTATTGCATCACTATTTTTCCCTTTAGATCTGTGACTTTTTTACTATATTCAGGTGCTTCTATACTGGGTGTATATATTAACAGTAGTTACACATTTCATAAAATTGACCCTTTTACCATTACATAATGACCTTCCTTGTCTCATGTTAGAGCTCTTGACTTAAAGCCTATTTAGTCTGATACAAGTTACCCCACTTTCTTTTGGTTTCCCTTTCTCTTTGCATGGATTATCTTTATTCATAATTTCATTTTTAGTCTATGAGTATCCTTAAAACTTAAGTGAGTCTCTTATAAGCAGCACATAGTCAGATCTTGATTTCTCTTTTTCTTTTGAGCTATTCAGCCACTCAATATCTTTTGATTGCATGATTTAGTCTACTTACATTAAAATATTTATTAACATATGTCATCATTTTGTGAGTTGGTTTCAGATTCTTTTGTAATTTCTTTTCTTTCTCTCTTGCTGTTTTACTTTGTAAATTGATGTTTTAGGAGTAGTGTGCTTTTATTCTTTTATGACTTGTGTAGTTACTACATTTCTGCTTTGTTATTATCAAGAAACTTTCATAATATGTCATACAGTAAAACATTCTAATTTAAACTAAAATCTTACATCTATTCCATGAAAATATTCTACATATTAACTGGACCCCCCCACATTTTATGTTATTAATGTCTCATTTAAAGTATTTTTGTACTGTGCATTCATTAATAAAATATTATAGATACAGATACTTTTAATACATTTTTGTTTTTAATATATATGGTAGAATTTATCATTGCAGTATTGGAGCATTCTATGTTGCAGTATATGTTTATCTTTACCAGTAAGTTTTATGTTGTCATATGTTTTCATGGTACTAATTAATGTCTTTTTGTTTCAGCTTGAAAAACTCATTTAGCATTTCTTCTAAGGCAGGTCTAATGGCAATGAATTCCTTCAGCTTTTGTTTGTCTGGTGAGGTCTTTATCTGTCCTTTCTGAAGGGCGACTTGCTGAACAAGGGATTCTTGGTTGACGATATTCTCTTTGAGTACTTTGACTACAATACACACTTCCTTCTGGCGTAAAAGGGTCTACAGAGAAATCTACTGATGATTTCATCAGTATTCCCTTGTATATGATGATTCTTTTTTTTCTTGATGCTTCCCAAATTCTATATTTTCTGGATTCTAAGTGCCTAATTGCAATGCTTTTCAATGAAGAGCTCTTTGGATTGAATCTGTTTGGGGATATTTTGACTTCATGTACTTAGATGGCCACAGCTTTCCACAGATTTGGGAAATTTCATCCATTAACTATTTCAATTAATTTTCTGTCTGCTCTTCTCCCTCTTCTCCTTCTGGGATTCCTACAATGTGAACACTCTTTCCTTGATAGTGTCCCACAATTCACACAGGTTTACTTTATTCTTTTTCATTGTACTTACTTTTTTCCCCATCTCTGAATAGTATCAAGACATCTGTCCCCAAATTTGAGTATTCTTCCTTCTATTAATTCTTGGTGACTCTACTGTTGAAGCTCCTCATTGGATTTTAATTTACTGCAATAATTTAAGGGTTAAAGTTAGAGATAGCAATTGTATTCTTAAATTCACTGTACTCTTCAGCTCTATAATTTCTGTTTGTTTGTTTTTATAAATCCTTTCTCATTTTTAAGGTTTTTATTTGCTCATGCATTGTTTCTCCTGATTTCATTGAATTGTCTATGTCCTATAAAAGGTCACATATCTTCCTTAAAACAATTTCTTTGAATTATTTTCTCATAGCTTGTAGATCTCCATTTCTTTGAGGTCTATTACTGGCAAATCATTTATTCCTTTGGTGATGTTAATTTTCATTGTTTTTTTCACTTTTCTGATTGTTTCTGATGATGTCTCTGTATTAGAGGTAACTATCACCTCCTCCAGCCTTTTTGAACTCATTTTGTTGGGGAAAGATTTTCACCTCAAGTTGGCTGTGAGGGTGCTAGGTGAGTGGAATATAATATCTTTGTTCTTGGGAGTGCATAACTGCATAATTTCTCTGCATCGCCATCAGCATAGATCAACATCTGTGAAGACTGCATGGGTCTTCTGTGAGCAAAGCTAGAGAGTTCACACAGGTAGTGGCAGTGTTGGCTAGGGCCATTGAGGTACTTGGTAATAAAGGCTTCTGAGGTCCCACTGTGCTCTTTGGCCGACGGAAGTTAGTTGTAACTGAGGAGATACATACTGACACTCAGAAAGGAAGTGGAGCCAAAGACCTTAGATCAGGGTCACATGGGACAGTTATATCGCTTTGGCCCTGAGGTACAACCGTACTGGCTGGGGCAGAAGGACCAGTCTTGAAGGGACAAGCAGATATAATGCTGCCATGGAACTGGGGTCTATGTTTGTTGTTTGCTTCAGCAACATGGGGAGTAGGGTAATGCAGCAGTGGTGCAAGCCCTGATGTGACAGAATTCTGCAGTAGCTTAGGCCCAGGAGTGCAGGGTCACACAGCAGTGTAGCCTTGGAATGATGAGTCAAATTTCCAACTCTGGCCTCAGGAGAAGTCACAGAGAAGTTGCATCATGGTCCCAGTGATGGCCTGTTTAAGCCCCATGTCAGGACCCATGAGGTGGACTGTAGAGCAGCAGTGGTGTGTTCCCAGTCGTGGTGAGTCAAAGCCGTGACTTAGCACACACTGTGAGGTCAATGAAGGAGCACTGTGGCCCAACAATGCTAAAGTGATGCTGAGGTTTAGGGCTCAGGAGTAAGTTGTAGAAGAGCAGCAGCTCAGCCTAAGTAATAACCAGTCAGAGCTACAACTAGGAATACAGAGTCAGGTTCAGAAAATAGCAGCATGGCTTTTGTTATGGCAAGACCAAGCACTAAGCTAGAAGCTGGGGGCAGAGTATGCAGCAGCAGTTCTCATCCCATACATGTCAGGGCACTGTGGTCACAATCAAGGAAAGCAGGGTGGGTATGGAGGTGACAGGCCCCAAGGTCAGGTATCCCCACAGCAACTTGTCAAAATAGAAGGAGGACACAGTAGCAAAGACTCTGGGCAGCTCTGTCAGCTAGAATCAGTGTCAGTAAAGCCTGTAAGTCCTCAGTAGCAAAGACTGCAAATGTCTATGATGCTGAGATTTGCTAGAGTGCTGTTTCCCTTTTTCCCATGGGATGAAATCCCTTTGAGCAAATCCTTGCTGGTATCAAGCTACTCTAAACTGGAAGTTTTGGTGACCTAGTTAAAAAGCTTTCCCATGTTTTGCTACATGGCCGTCCTCAGTTTTTGCATTCTGCAAGATATCTGCTCTTCTTTGTTGTAGTCCAGAACTTAACCAGTGTAATTTAAATTGATTTCTACTTGTTCATTTATTGTTTTTGTGGGGGGATACAGGTGTTTGGAACTCCTAACCTTCCAACTTGTGGATGTCATCTTATCTACTTCTGTGTCAAGGAGCCTGCAGACATAAGATCCAATCACATGCTATTGATTTTGCTGCAGTCTATACACTTCTCTCTTACATATTAATAACATAGTTTACTTGCATGTGCAAGATCATTGAATTTTGGATCAGTGATAATGCTGAAAAAAGCAATATTTAACACTTTATTATCATGAAATGTTCTACACTTTGCCCTTGCAATTGATTTCCACGGCTGCTGACTACTCATAAAATTTAGTTATTTGAAATGTAGGTGTTAAATTTTAACTTCCTGATTGATTTCTCCCTGGATATAAGCAAATAAACAATACCAAAAGAATAGAGTACTTTTTTAAGTACTGCATATGAGCAAAATGTCTATGAAAAGGCTCTCACTTCTGCTGCTACTACAGCTGACTTGCTACTTTAGCTCTGGGAGTTGTGGAAAGGTGCTGGTGTGGCCAGTGGAATTTAGTCACTGGATGAATATGAAGGCAGTTCTGGATGAACTGGTCATGAGGGGTCATGAGGTGACTGTTCTAATATCTTCAGCTTCCACTATTACTGATGCCAAAAAACCATCTGCTTTTAAGTTTGAGATTTTCCCTGTATCTTTAACTAAAGATGATTTTGAGATTGCTGTCAAGAATTTAATTGAGAAATGGACATATATGGCAAAAAATTCATTTTGGACAAATGTTTCATCATTTAGAGAATTGAGAAGCTTACTTTTGGAATTTTCTGGAATGTTTATGAAGGTCTGTAAAGAAGTTGTTTTGAACAAGAAAGTTATGACAAAGCTACAGGAATCAAGGTTTGATGTCCTTCTTGCAGATGCTGTTGGACCCTGTGGTGAGCTGCTGACTGAGATACTTGGAATACCTTTAGTGTACAGTCTCCGCTTTTCGCCTGGCTATTGGTTTGAAAAGTATAGTGGAAAACTTTCATTCCCACCATCCTATGTGCCTGTTATATTTTCAGCATTAAGTGATCACATGACATTCATGGAAAGGGTAAAAAATATGATATATGTACTTTATTTTGACTTCTGGTTCCAGACATTTGATGAGAAGGCATGGGATGAATTTTACAGTGAAGTGCTAGGTAAGTCATCTTTTCAGTTGTTACCACAAAGTCCTAATTTTCCAAGTGCCTTGGAAGGTGACTACATAAACAGAAACCCACAGTATTTTGTCTCTTAAAAGGAAATGAGGGAATGAAAATATAAAATGACCCATCAATCCCATAAATATTATGGAAACACTTAAATCATAATATAACATAGAACCTTGTGGCCTAATACTAGTACACGATACTCCAGGAAATCGTAAACCACAAATTGAAACACTTAGGATTTCTGCAAGCAATTATATATGTAACTCATGAAACTTCATCTTTTAACTTATAAATGTCACTGGAAATCTCATAAAATAGCTTGATAGATAAAGACAAGTAGATTAAGGAATTACAAACATATTTGTAGTACAAATATCTAGGTGGCATTTAGAAATTGTTTCTACTTGTGTAGCTCATTTTCCATGATATGTATTATATTATTCAGTGTACACATACAAGTTTCCAGATCATATTTCATTATATCATATCATATTATATGTACACACACACACACACACACGTATATATTTGCTTTATCAAAGAACATACACTTTCAAACATCTTTCTCTATATTATTCCAAATTCCTTTCCCCATATTACCTAATATATTCACATGGCAATATTCTCATTTAATCTAATATTTGTTGTTATTTTTGTTTTTGCTTTTCATTTAAGGAAGACCCACTACATTTTTAGAGACAATTGGGAAAGCTGATATGTGGCTCATTCGAACCTATTGGGATTTTGAATTTCCTCGCCCAGTGCTGCCAAATTTTGAATTTGTTGGAGGCCTCCACTGCAAACCTGCCAAACCCCTGCCTAAGGTCACCTACTCTTCTTTGTTGTGCTTTGTTAACTTTGCATTTTTGATAAGAATAATCTTACAAAATTCTAGAATTTTGATTACAGTAAATCATATATGGGAAGCTGGATAAAGTGACCTTCCAGTTAGAAACTGATATATTTCCATACCAACACAAGTACCTGAATTTCATTATCATTGCAGACTTTGAGAGAGAGAGACTCAAAGTCTCATGGGAGACTTTGAGACTATGTTAGTTAAATTAAGGCTTTGATAATCCAGTGCATAATAGAGAATCAAATATTCATTAAAGAATAATTAAAAAGGGACAAGCATAGTCTAGAAATAAGTGCTAACATGCAGAGAAATGGTGTGGACACAGTTTCTGCTACCTGACACTCTACCTAGAAAGACAGAATGAAAGCAAGTGATAAAATGTGTTACTATAAGGAAAGACCAAAATGCCAAAGAAACATCCTGCAGGAATCATAGAAAATATCTTGGTCAGTCAGTTCAGTTGCTCAGTCATGTCCAACACTTTGCGACCCCATGAACCGCAGCACGCCAGGCCTCCCTGTCCATTACCAACTCCTGGAATCCACCCAAACCCATGTCCATTGAGTCAGTGATGCCATCCAACCATCTTATCCTCTGTCATCCCCTTCTCCTCCTGCCCTCAATCCCTCCCAGCATCAGGGTCTTTTCCAGTGAGTCAGCTCTTCGCATCAGGTGGCCAAAGTATTGGAGTTTCAGCTTCAGCATCAGTCTTTCCAATGAACGCCTAGGACCGATCTCCTTTAGGATGGATTGGTTGGATCTCCTTGCAGTCCAAGGGACTCTCAAGAGTCTTCTCCAACACCACAGTTCAAAAGCATCAATTCTTCCGTGCTCAACTTTCTTCACAGTCCAACTCTCATGTCCATACATGACTACTGGAAAAACCATAGCCTTGACTAGATGGACCTTTGTTGACAAAGTAATGTCTCTGCTTTTTAATATGTTGTCTAGGTTGGTCATAACTTTCCTTCCAAGGAGTAAGCGTCTTTTAATTTCATGGCTGCAATCACCATCTGAATTGATTTTGGGGCCCAGAAAAATAAAGTCTGACACTGTTTCCCCATCTGTTTTTCATGAAGTGATGAGACCAGATGCCATGATTTTAGTTTTCTGAATGTTGAGCTTTAAGCCAACTTTTTCACTCTCCTCTTTCACCTTCATCAAGAGACTCTTTAGTTCTTCTTCACTTTCTGCCATAAGGGTTGTGTCATCTGCATATCTGAGGTTATTGATATTTATCCCAGTAATATCTTGGAGGCATTGATAATTAAGGTGAAATATAAAGGATGCTCAGGAATAATTGAAGGTAAGGAATGTGGATATTTTAGGAATCAGCAAAGCAAAATGGTTGGGAATGGGTGAATTTGACTCAACTGACCATTATATCTACTTCTGTGGGAAAGAATCCCTTAGAAGAAATGAAGTAGTCTTTATAGTCAGCAAAAGAGTCTGAAATGCAATACTTGGATACAGTCTTATAAACGACAGAATGATATCTGTTCATTTCCATCAATTTAAGATTAATCTGTGTTTGATCTCTGATATTCCACCCATTCAATATCACAGTAATCCAAGTCTATGCCCCAACCAGTAATGCTGAAGAAGCTGAAGTTGAACAGTTCTATGAAGACCTACAAGACCTTCTAGAACTAACATCCAAAAAAGATATCCTTTTAATTGTAGGGGACTGGAATGCTAAAGCAGGAAGTCCATGAGGCCGCAAAGAGTTGGACATGACTGAGTGACTGAACTCTACTTAACTGGACTGAACTGAAGGTAGAGGAAGATACAAAAGGAAAGCATAGTAATGACAGTTTCCAAGAAGTCCAAGTTCAGTCTAAACAGGAAGAGGCTGAGTAAAGAAGCAGAAAATGCTGAAGAGTTAAGTTGCAGATGTATTATTGTAAGGAGTTTAGCACATCTAGTAGGATGTAAGGGAGAAAATTAAAAGGGTGAAGAAAAGGGAGAGATGATCACATTAAAAAAAAATCACAGGATGTAGTCACTGGGTTGGATTGTAACATGGCAAAAGTGGAAAGGGACACCATTTAGCAGGTTGTTGCAAGACATAGGCAGTGATGCAAAACTAGACAAAAATGTTCATAGAGATATAACCACACTAATTTATAATAATAGTACCAACCTCAAATTGTCCTTGAGGGGAAAAAAAAATGTGCTAATACATGTGAAATATCTAAAATGTCACTGGCCCATACTCAGTGGTCCAGAAGAAATATTAATTATTTTCATTACTGTTATTTTGTTACTATAACATACTCTCAATAACCCAATGTGTGCCAGCCACATAGATCTAATTTCTAATTGAAATTGAAATTATTTTCCTAATCATCAAGATTACATTATCCAGCAAACTGTCAGAGAATAGCTATCCCATGGAATCTTTTAAAAGCAAATTTTAAAAGTTAACTAAAAGGTAATAAAAATAATTTAATAAATTCAACAAAATTTACTTTAAATAAAATCTAAGTGACATTTAAACTTTTTTAATATTAAACATTTTAAGGTTTTGGCAATCAGACAAGCAATATGTAAAATATTTTTTGTAAGGATTGAGGCTCCTTACCAGTACTCTAGATAAAATGAAAAATCTTCTTCATCAATATAAATGTACGCCTTAGTAATCTGCAGCTAAATCCAACCCGTACTTGCTTTCACATCAGCATTTAAACCATTCTTCATTTGAAATCCCAGGGATTTATATCTTACAGCATAAAGGAGATAACTCCATCTATTATAATAGAACAGATGTTTTTTGCCTACACTAATCCTCTTGTTATTCAATTTCTCTGTCGTGTCTGACTTTTTGCTGCCCCATGGACTGCATCACACCAAGCTTCCCTGTCCTTTACCATCTCCTGGAGGTTTTCTCATACTCATGTCATTGAGTCTGTGACGCCATCCAACCATCTCATCCTCTGTCGTCCCCTTCTCCTCCTGCCCTCAATCTTTCCCAGCATCAGAGTCTTTTCTGATGAGTTGGCTCTTCACATCAGGTAGCCAAAGTACTGGAGTTTCAGCTTCAGCATCAGTCCTTCCAAAGAATATTCAGGGTTGACAGCTTTCAGGATTGACTGGTTTGATTTCCTTGCAGTCCAAGGGACTCTCAAGAGTTTTCTCCAGAACCATTTAGAAAACCTCAGTAAAAGTTCCCTTAAGGAATGCAGGTCTCAGCACCATAGATGCTTAACAGAATGAGCACAGAGAAAATCTACCCTGCATACGTAAGTAAGTAAAGTCGCTCAGTCGTGTCCAACTCTTTGCGACCCCATGGACTGTAGCCTACCAGGCTCCTCTGTCCATGGGATTTTCCAGGCAAGAGTACTAGAGTGGGTTACCATTTCCTTCTCAGGGGATCTTCCCGATCCAGGGATCGAACCTGGGTCTCCAGCATTGGAGACAGATGCTTTACCGTCTGAGCCACCATTTATAAGAACCATAAATAATTTACAGATTAAAAAAAAAAGGTGGGGGGGGCACAATTTCTAGCAATTCAATCTAAAACCATCTGTAGTTTCAGAATATAAGGAATTCTATTTATAGGGTAATATTCCTTATGAAAGAAAGCAATAATCTAGTCTCTTTTAAATTGACTTAAGACATAAATAAAAAGCAAGCAATCTTTAGCCAACTGTTTTGTGGTCTCTTTAAAAATTAATGAATTTTTGTCTGTACTGGGTCTTCGTTGCTGTGCTGGGTTTCTCTAGTTGCAGCGCACGGGCTTCTCACTGTGGTGGCCTGCAGGCTCTAGACTTGCAGGGTCAGTGGTGGTGGTGAATGTGATTAATTGCCCCTGGGGATGCCCTGAGGCAGGTGAGATCTTTCCAAACCAGGGATCAAACACACATTCCCTGCATTGCCAGGATTCTTAACTACTGGGCCACCAAGGAGGTCCTGTGAACCCATAATAGATCATTTTTGTCAACTCTTTATTGGTGGCAAGGGTAAAATTCAATAACTGTTTTTCTCTCTCTCTCTCTCTCTCTCTCTGTTTTTTACACTAATTCCAGTTTTATTGGATTATAGCTGATTAACAATGTTGTTACAGCTTCAGGTGGCCAGCAAAGGGACTCAGTCATGCACATACATGTCTCCATTTTCCCAAAAACTCCCCTCCCATCTAGGCTGCCACTTAACATTGAGCAGAGTTTCCTATGTTATCATTTAGGTCCTTGCTGGTAATCCATTTTAGATATAGCAGTGTGTAATATCTGTTTTGATTGCAAATTGTTTGGATTACCTAAGGTAACCTTCCCAGAGTCCAAAGGCTGAGATAAGATAGTGAAAGTTCTATGCTATCTAAAACCATATTTTTGAAATTTCCATTTCTTCATTTCAGGAGAGTGATAATATTAGTAGGTGGGGAGGTTAGGAGAGGAGGAAGAAGAACAAAGGGAAACATGAATGGTAGTATAATCATGATAAATCAGTAATATCAAGCTGAAGAAACAAAATATAATTCCCTGTGAGGACTTCATTGCATAAGGAAACTATCTATTCACACTACTAACTTTTCCAGTAATTACTGGATTCCAGAAAATTTCTGCACTTTTTAAAGAATTAGGATATTTGACAAAATGCATCGAGTCATAAAAATGCTTATAGATTTTAGCTTCATAATATACTTATATGAAACTATACAGAGAAAATAATCAAGATGTCCTAGCACAATATTTTGAGCAATAATTTAAAAATGTCAACACTGGAAATAACAGAAATAAAGCAATGTTATAAATGTCCACATCATACCATCATGATGATTTCATCAAAGAATGCTTAATTACACCGTCAACTATGAAGTTTAGTTGGAAAAAACAAATATAATAAGATCACAATTTTCTTCTAGGATAAAACGTACTATAAGCTGGCATTACAATTTTCAAAATATATATATCAAATGCACATTTAATGATAGGAGTAGAATAAAGATTAGAATGAAAGCATAAA